AGGTCATTCACTTGCTGGGACTTGGTAGGATTCCCACTTCCAACACCGGCAACAACTGTCCATTTGTGCATCTTGTTTGGCATAAAATAGGAGATTGCTTTCTTGTAATAGATTAGGGACGTTGATCTACCATGAGTAGGATTATCATCGACACCAGGATCCTCACGACCAAAAGCTTTCTTTGCAAAGAACCTGTAGATGTGGTCTGGAGTTAAAAAGCTGAGTTCCTCATGGGTGAACAGCTTGTCATTAGGGAACCGATTATCGTTGTCTCCATCGCTGCTGGTGTGTCCATGCACATGATCCATTAGCTCAAGAAGGACCTTGTGGTACCTCCTCCACTGTCCTGGCTGGTTCACATCACGAGGAGGCGTTACAGTTCCTCCCCTTCTTTTCCGAGCCCGGAGACGCCGCCGATTCATCCCTCCTCTTGGTGTTCTTGCCATTGCTAGTAGTAGTGGTAGCGTTGCTTCTTTGTTGCTGTTGCTTGGAGTTTTGCTTGTACTCCTCCGCCTCGTATGCGAGGAGCAGGAGGATTGGCGTTTTGCTTTGCTTGTACTCGTACTACGTACTATGTGTACTATGCGAGGACGAGCAGGATTGGGGTTTTGCTTGAACCGGTACTACTCGTATGCAAGGACTGCTTGGTTGGTACTCGAAAAGATGAGCAAAGAATCATGCACCTCTTGCGTCGTGAGTCAACGCGTCCTCTTGAGTCAACGCGTCGTGAGTCAACAATGCTGGGGGCTAATGTGCAACGATACTGCGCGGAGCTGTTTTTTGATACTTAGTAGTAGTAGTGTTCTTCTTGATACTGCTGTTGTGCTGCTGTTTTTCGATAGTTAGTATTTGCTTGCTTTGGGTTTTGCTTGAACCAGTACTCGTATGCGAGTATTGTTATTTTGTGAGCAAAAAAATGCACCTCTCGTGAGTCAACCGGGGGGAGTTGCAAAATTGTTGCATACTCAGTGTAATTTGCTCTGTCTTAAGCAACCAAAAGAGGTACGGATGGGACCACAGCAGAAAAGCTRATAYGRTTGCTGTGTAGAATCCCTACCACAAATCATGTAGCAVSTGYAAGTACGGTGGTAAATGGAGTGGGATAGAGTGACGTGTTATAGCCTACGTAAAATCCTACGTATTTTAAGTACCGATAGACTCCTTCGACCGTTTTGCAATATCGGTTGCAAAAATTTGGTACCCATAACATATCTTTAATATGATTCGTACGTAGTAATTCATACCGGCAAGTTTAAAGTGCCATACATACGTACCGTACGTACTGTAGATCATTTGAGAGTTTTTCATCCGTTGGATGAGATGAATAGCAGTAGACCCTCCTATGTATCGATAAGACCTCATCTTTCAGCTATTCTTCAATTTGGC